GGGCGGCCTCGCTGCTCTGCGCGCCCGGCGCCTCGGCGGCCCCACGGCAACGCCGGAGCGCCGCGCTCCGATGATGCGGCCCCACTGTGATGCGGCGGCGCCTTCCGTGCCGCCCGGGCCCCTCGGGACCCCCACGTGTCGCCCCATGGCCGAGGCGGGCTCATCACGAGGCCGCAGCGCCGCGCAGCCTTGGCACGGGCAACATCCCCGCCAAGGTGTCTTCTGCCAGGGCCACCCCAGAGCCATTTTCTCCTGTTTTTTTCCCCCGTCCCTGCAACACTGCCTAAGCTGTTTTGGTCGTGTTGTGTACACTGGGAATCCTAGTGCTCCCCTTCCCGTTTTCATCTGTCTTTCTGATGGAAAGATGTGRTATTAAGAGCTCATTTTGCTCATTAAAGCAAAAGCCTCAGCGTGCTTAAGTCTTGCGTGAAAAAGGCCATATTTAAAGGGCTGCCCAGACCTAGTGCTTCTTGCAGTAAAAGTGCAGTGTTARGGTGCTCTACAGCTCCAATATCTGATACAAAAGCATCAGTATGAGCTGAATCCCTTGCTACGGTTGGTCTCAGGCCGTCTGCCTTCCAGCTGCKACATAATATGGTGTCTGCAGCGGGTGATCATATATGAAAGTGGGCAATAAACCTTGGGAAATGGTACCTGGCTCCATCCAGGTGTGATCTGTCCAACTGCTCCACGCTCACAGCTGTGCTCAACAGGGACCTGGCCCTCAAAAACACACTGATTTTTTTAAAATCACCCTGTTTTTTAGTGGAGAATAATAAATCCAGGAAATTTCTACCCACTTCCATTTCACACACACATCCAAAACRGCTCTTTTTTGAATACGTACCTTTATTGAATACATAGCTACTTTTACTGCATACATAGCTATTTTCACAGAATTTTCTCCTACCTCTCCTTTCCATGAGAGCTCGGGAGCCGCTTACCTAACATCAAATCAGACTTCCATGATTATAAACTAAAAATCCTGAGTTGATTCTAAAACAGCATCAAACCAAACACTAGCCAACAAACCACAGTGCTAAAAATCACCCTCTTGTTTTAAAACCCATCCGAGAAAAGCAGTTTGTGGAACTGAGATCCACCGGGCTTTGACTTTAGTAAAAGTCACCCTCATTGGYTAAATTCATTTTTATTTCCATAAATACTGGGTGTTTGGGGGGAGAAGAGGTGTCAGATCTAGGTGCCTCAGAGAGTCTAGGGCACTTTGTTCCCACTTTACATCCTTCTGGTGATGCCATGAGTGTCTGCAGCCAGTGTTGGAGCTCGCAGCGGACCCGCTCGTGTCCCCGGGTCCAAGCAGCGGGTTAGCTTCGTGTGGGACACGCACCGAGAAGATTTTGAGGTTTCTTTTCCCCTCATCACTCGCTGTGCACTTGGGTAAATGAYGAGCTGCTCTGAGCCATTTGGAGCCACATGGGTAACAAGCTCCATCTCTGGAACAGCGCRGAGAAAACGGAGTTGAGGCCGTGCACACCTAGGAGAGGCAAAGGAGAGGATTTACAGGGTGCCTCGGCTGCACCCGTTGCCTTCGGAGCGGCCTCCAAGGCAGCGTGGCACAACCGGGAGGTTCTCACACCCTCCGTGGGAGCCCGGCCCTGTCTTGGGCCTCGGGCAACGGGCCGGGGCCGGAGCCGCCGGCTCTGGCGCGACCGCCCTGCAAGGCTCCGTGCGGCAGCTCTGATTTCAGGGAACGGGAAATTTGGCGTGAGGGTGACRTGTCAAAGGGCCCGGACACTTGCTGGGTGAATGGGGTGCAAATGGAGCTATATTGTAGAAAATGACAGGCAAGGGAAATGAATTATTTACCCATGTCATGAAAGAGAAAAGAGGGCAGAGCGCTTTGCRTGAGCGCTCGAGGCCGTGGGGCTGGGCACAACCCCAGTACCCGAGTTATCAGCGCCGGGGGGTTACAGCTGCAGGAGGAGAGGGGACAGCCGGGCTTCCTTCTTCCTCATCTTCATCCCGTGGGAGCTTCCTGACGAGGCGCCCTTGACACGTGGTGTAAGTGCCCGAGGTTGGCAGCCGGAATTGCTCTTCGTTCCCGAACAGGTCGCACTTTGCTGCTTGTCGCCTTCCTGCTCCCTCTAATGGGGCAGAACAAAGGTACACGTAATTCTGGCGCACCCCAAGGGTCACAACCCGGGCAAACAAACAAAAAAAAATCAAATGCAACCCTTTGCTTTTCCAGCAAAGTGCCACTCAAACAAGGGACAGGAAAGCACCCGGTCGGATGGGTGCAAAAGGAGCCCAATACCCAGGCACCTTCCTTAGGGAGCTTTATTAACAAAGTGGGTCCTGATGTGAGAGTGGCCTCGAGCCCCCATGAAGGTGGGATGTGACCCCAAAGCAGTGGTGGGGGTTCAGACCCTGGGCTCGTTTAATGATCACCCGCAGTGGCGCCTATGGGGCAGGCGGTCCAAGGGGGCGGCAGGGCAGGTGGGGACGCGCTGACCTGTGTGCGAGCGGGACGGCCGGGAGAGCTCCGCGGGCCAAGCGGCTTGGCAAAACCGCAGGGAATGAGCTCGGCAAAACCACAGGGAATGAGCCCGGCAAAACCATGGGGAATGAGCCCGGCAAAGCCGTGGAGAAGGCAAATGATGCCAGCAAACAGGACATAGGGAAGCGGGAGAATCCTGTGTAGCACCTCGCAGCACCAACCTCCGCTCCCAGCCAYGGCACTGGAGCAGGGGAGAGAGGAGAGGCCCCAGAGAGATTTAGCTAAGTGGGCAATTTTTCTCATCATATTTCATGTTCTGTTTCACTTGAGAAGCTGCTCAGCCTCCCCTTGATTTGCAACGATTTTATGAACAATTATCCCAAAAGTRTTGTAGCGGATACCTGTATTTCTGCTAAGAATAGTCCCCCCACCGTGGGTGGTGATTCTGCAGAGCAGGTCTGTGCAATTACAGCTTAAATTGTGGAGGACACTCAGACAAGAGAGAAAGAAAAACACAAAAAGAACCTGTGTTTACACCTAGATAACCCATTGTCGGGGTTAATGCCACAGGTACCCAGTAATCAAGYAGCCGCCTCCGCTCCAGCACCTGGCAAGTCTGGAGCTGCCTGTCTGGAGCTGCCTGTCCAAGATGCATCATGTTTCACCACGCTCTTGCTCTTAAAGACCTGCAGATCTAAAAAGGAGAACAAAGAGCRTTGCAGCCTTGCAGCTGCGCTGCTTTGCGCCCCCATGGACACTTCCCTGTGGCCAGCGCGCCTGCCCTTCGCGTGACACTGATCACTAAGCCACAGGGTGCCTCACATCCCACGGCAGCTGCTTTTCCCAAATCCTCTCCTTGTCCCCCACSTATCTCCTTCTTTTCTCCCCACGGCCCCCGGTTTCCTGCGGTTAATGATTAAAGGTGCCCACCTGTCTCCCCGGGGCAGCATTAATCATTGACAGGCGCCCACGGCCCCGCGCTATAAGCGCCATCCGCCGCCGGGGCAGAGCCGAAGCGGGAGCCGCCGCCGCCGCCGGGCCCGGGCGCAACATGAAGGGAGCCGCCGTCCTGCTGCTGCTGCTGCTGCTGCCCGGGGCCCAGGGCGAGCACCGAGGTGAGGGCGCTGATCACACCACGGCCCCGCGTCGGGCCCGGCTCAGGGACCAGGGCTGGCCCCTTGGGCCCGGCCGCGCTCCTCGGGGCCGGGCATGAGGGGAGGATGCGGYGCTGCTGCCCCCATATCAAGAGGGGCCCTGGGGTGGGAGCCAGGCTGTGGGCACCGTGGTGCTCTCCACGGGCTTTCCCCGAGGTCCCTCAGGATCCGCTTCTTGGAGTATCAGCTTCTGCACATGAGAATAAGCTGAGCCAGTTTTCCCTTGCCGAGCCAGTTTTCCCTTGCCTGGGACTGGCAGGTGCTCCTCGCACTACGTATGAGCGCAGGCTCCCCGGTGTCCCCGGGACCCGCTTGCAAATGCAAGCAGAAAACCCAGACGAGCCCCSCAGGACAAGGTGCCGAGGCGCCTCGGCTGCGCCGCTGCCTCCCCGTTGCTTCACGGAGGGTTTTTGCGCAGCAGAAGCCGCTGTGAAAAACCAAACCAACGTCAAAAGCAGCCCTGCCGTCCCCTGGATCCGGCTCTGCTCCTGGAGTGGCTTTGGATGCCCCACGCTCCTCTGGAGCCCGCTGCGGCCTCCATAGGGGCCGGGCTCTGACCCCAGCCCCAGCGTCAGCCCCTGCAGCAGGCGCTTCTCGGAAAGGGCACCACAGCTTTCCTCCGGACACCATTCCGGGTCCGACCCTCCCTGGAAAGCCCGTGCCAAAGTGACAGGGGCCAGCACGGTATCAGTGTTTACCCTGCCCGTACCAAAGTCTACCCGAGGCGGTGTGTGACACAATCGATGCCGTTTTCAGGGGAAAACAGCGATATCTGTGGTGCCTCTGTTTCAGGCACTGAAAAACGGCAGTGGGCTGGACGAGGGGCTAATGCCCTCGGCAGCTTGCCTGGCTTCTCTGCCACCTTTCCTCTCTTGCCACTATCCAACGGGAGCGCAAGGGCAGCGGCACAGCAGCCACTACCCAAAGCTGCRCCAGAGCATCCTCTGCCGGCAGCCGCCTTCCGCGCGCCCGCGCGGCACCGAGCTCCGGAACGACAGGAGAACCACGAGCTGAAACAAAACTTACACCCCTAAACCAGGAGGGACTCTTCCCCAGGGAAGGGCCGAGATATTTCAGAGCTCAAATCCTCAGCCCCTTTCCAGGCCCACGGCTCTCCCCACCTGGAGCTGCCCTGTAGCCCTGCTACCCATTGCTCAGTATAACCTTAGGGCAGTCGAACMCGCAAACTCATTGCACCCGTCGTGGCTCGGGACCGTGAACCCCTTCTCCTTTCTCTGGGCTCACAGGCAAGGACTATGTCCGGGACAAGGTGTGCCAGGAGTACAGGACCTTGGGGAAAGAGGACTTCCGAGCGCTGTACGTACTGCCCACAGCCCTCGGCTTCAGCGTCACCCGGCGCTGCAGCCGCCACGTGGCTGCACAAACAAATGTTTTCTCCTCTGAAAATAAAAAACCCATCCCACGGGTTCCTGCTGTTCTGTTTGCCCCCAGGACGATCATCATGAACAGCAGGAAGTTCTCCAACGCCTCCTTCGAGGAGATGAGCCACCTGGTGCGCGAGATCGTCTCGCTGGCCGAAACCTGCTGCGCCGAGAGCGCCGAGCCCTCGTGCTACGACGACGGGGTAGGTCGAGGGGGCCTCGGGGAGATATCTGGGGAGGCAGCTTCCAGCCCTGGACGGGCAACTTGGYAGAGGCCTCGGTGAGCCCCGGAGCCGCCGTTTCAGCGCCCTTCCCTCTGCGCCCCGCAGTCGTCGGCGCTGTCGGCCAAGTCGTGCGAGGCCGGCGCGCCGTTCCCGCAGCACGGCAGCACGGGCGCCTGCTGCGCCCACACGGGCCTCGAGCGCAAGCTCTGCCTGGCCGCGCTGCAGCACCCGCCGCGGGAGCTTCCCCGGCACGCGGAGCCCAGCGGTGACGAGCTCTGCACCCGCTTCGCCCAGGACCCCAAGGGCTTYGCCGACAGGTGAGCGCCGGGGGGCACCCGAGGCCGAGCGCCCTGGCTCCCTCCTCGAAGCATCTCTTGCTTTGCCAGCACAGACCTGAATGACAAACAGCAGCAAGTCCCTCGAGTGCTTGGTGCAATCAGTCAGGGCTTGGGGCAGCCCCAGGAGATCCCTGCGGAGGGGTGTCCGCTCCGGGTGCACCCCAAAACCCCCCGGGCACTCCCTCCCCGGCCACACAGGCGAGCTCCCCACGCAGCCCCCCTCTCCCGCAGGTATCTCTAYGAGTTCGCCAGCGACTACGGGCAGGCGCCGCTGCCCGTGCTCCTGGGCGCCGCCAGGAGCTTCCTCTCCATGGTGTCCACGTGCTGCATGTCCCCGGCGCCCACCACCTGCTTCCTGAAGGAGGTGAGTGCCCCTCGGCCACTGCCCGCCGCGGCGGCCGCGATGGCTTTGACCAAGGTTGGCCAAAGTGCTGGCAATGCCCTGAGCCGCCTGCAACAGCGAGGCTGGCCCCGCRCACTCATATTCTCCCTTTCCTTCCAGAAACTGCAGAGAAAAACCCTCTCGCTGCTCACTCTGCTGTCAAACAGGGCTTGCTCCCGCTTCTCGGCGTAYGGCAAGGACAAAATGAAGTTCAGGTACGAGGGGGCAATGGTGCTTCCCACGCTTTGGCTCMGGTCCAACCAGCTCCCGCTCTCCTGAGCGTGGTCCCAACTGCAGGGAGTTTTCCGTGAGGAATGTGTCGCTTAGGGGGTAAAGATGAGTACGGGCAACTTCAGTTGCCTTCCACAGCTTGACAAAAATAAGAGGGAACTCTCAAAGTTGCAATGAGAGCGAACGCCAGGTCTGCAACCGTGCAACAAGCCGACGGGATCTTGTAGAGCTGAGGCTCTAAGAGCCACCAGGTCTTTGTGGGGGAGTGTGGAGAACAAAGAGCTGGGGTCACTACGTCCCTTTTACGCTCCGTGTCCACCTAGCTACCTGACAACGCTCGCGCAGAAGACGCCGAGTGCTTCATTTGAGGAAATTCTCCCTCTGGCCGAAGACGCGGCCGAGCTGCTTGCCCAGTGCTGCGACTCGGCGGCTGAGGACTGCATGCAGAAGCAGGTAGCTGGGCCCGGGGGCTGCCGGGCGCGGGGGCAACCCCGCGTCCCCGCGGCGCACGGCCCGGTGCCGCGCGGGCGCCCGTGTGACACGCGCTCCCGGCTCCGCTCGCGCAGCTCTCGGAGCACGCCACCAAAGTGTGCGGCGCGCTGGCGCCCAAGGACGAGCGCGTGGCCGGCTGCTGCGCGGGGCAGAACGTGCTGCAGAGCTACTTCTGCATCGCCGCGCTGAGAGCGCCCGGCGCGCCGCAGCCGCCCGAGCCACAGCCGCCCGCCGGCGAGCGCCTGTGCGGCAAGGACGGTGCCCTGCACGCGCTCAGGTGAGCGCTCCCGGGCCGGCGCCAGTGCCCGCTGCCTCTCCGCTGCCTTGGGGAGGGCGGTGGGAACTGCTGGCGGGTCCCGAGGCTTCGGTAGCGGGAAGCAGAGAGCAGCACCGGCATCTCCGTCCCGGACGYGGACGGCACTCATGGTGCCGGGGGACACACAGGCAATGATGTGCATCTTGTGCTCTGCCCCAGGTACCTGTTTGAGATGGCGCGGCGGCACCCCAGCGTGCCCGACGTCTTCCTCGGGAGGCTGTACGACACGTGCCAGGAGGCCAGGGAGCAGTGCTGCGCCGCCAAGGACGCCGCCGCCTGCATGGACAGCAAGGTGAGCGCGGGCACGGGGGCAGCTTCCCCCTCACGCCCTCGCATCCCCCCTCAAATGCCCTGGAGGGGCCTGTCCGGCCGCGGCACGGGCTGGAAACAGCCTCTCCCCTCGCCCCGCAGAAGCAGCAGGTGAGAGGGAAGCTCCTGGCCTTCRTGGCGCAGGCGGACGAGCTGTGCAGCCTCTACCACAAGCTGGATTTCCTCGACTTCAAGAAGCAGTAAGGCAGGGGGCAGGGTGCGGGGGGCACCCCGAGGAGCGCCGGCGGGCGCCCTGACACCTCATCCCCGCGCGCCGCAGGGTGAAGGAGGCCCTGGCGCCCGGCACGGCGCCCGAGCGCCTGGCGGAGCTGGCCGAGCGGCGCGCCGAGCTCGCCTCCCAYTGCTGCGAGGCCAACGCGCCGCCCCGCTACTGCGCCCGGCAGGTGAGCGGCGGCGCCCGCCCCGACGCGCGGGGCTCCCCCGCGGCACTGAGCCCGCTCGGGACCCTCGGCCGCTCTCTTGCAGGTGGAGGCCGAGATGGGGCAGGCGTGAGCGGCGGCTCCCGTGCGCCGCAGAGAGCGGCGCGACGCGCGGCCCGGCCCGCGCTGCAATAAAGAGCGGAATAAACTCGTGGCGCCCGTGTGAGATCAGGCCCTGCGTGGGGCTGCGACTTCGCCGCCTTGTGCCCCAGGCCCTCCTGGCGCTCTGGTACTATCAACCCCCTCGCATGGGGCATCTTGCTGGGCCAGAGGCAGGGGGAGGCTGAGCGGCCAGCCGCGCTGCCCGCACGCAGCACAGCGCCAAGAGATGGCGCCCGGAGCCCAGGAAAGCCGGGGCAGCGCCAGGCCCGATGCCCTCCCTGCCCCGCTGCTCCCCAAAGGTGGAGGTGGCTGCTCCCGGCACGCGCCCTCCTCTCCCGATGCCCGCTACAAGCAGGTTGGGTTTGCAGTACAGGCCCAACTCCARCTAATTCCCCAAGGGAAAGTCACAGCCTGCAGGGTCAGCCCCGAAACAAACGTCCCTCCTTCCTGCAGCGAGAGCAAAATCCAACCATGGGGAGAGCCCAGGCCCACGGTGGAGGTGACAGGCGGTGTCCGGCACCGGATCCTGCTGCACATCAAAAGCAGCCCGGGTGGGAGCGAGCAGCCCCGCGGGACGAGGCTGCAGGGTGCACATTTTGGGGGCAGCGCCCTCCTCTCCCATCTCCACATCTCCCGTCTCGCACTTCTCGTGCCGTGTCGGCGCGGCCTCTCTTCAGCGACGGCAGGCTCGGCGCCTCGCTAAAATCCTGGAGCCCGCGCTCGGTGTCCCTGCGGCCCTGCGCCCGCCTGCCCGCCCGCGTGTCGCCCTGCCCGCCCGTGCAGAGACCTGCGCGCCGTGGCAGGAGGCGGGCAGCCCCACGAGCCCCCTGCCACGTCCCGCCTGCCTCCTGCTTGGGCCCTGCCTAACCCACACGTGGGGCAGGGCCCCGAGGGTCCCACTGCGCAGCGAGGATCTGCTGGTGGCCCAAGCACTTGTGGAAGAGAGAAGAATGAAACCTAAACACCACCGGAGAGGGGCACCCGCAGAGAGACCCAAGCTCTGTCACGCTGGCTCGTTTCCAKACTCAGTGCCCCGTAAGACACTGCAGCTCAGCATTACAGAGCTTGAATTACTCGTGGAAACAAATATTGCCTTTGACATAGCTCGTCGTAAGGAGCAACCTGTTGCTTGCAACCCCATTTCCTTAGGGGCTGGCAAAGCAGAGGGAACCRGTAGCAGTTCTGCAGCTATCACAGAGCAGTTTTCCTTTGGGACACTCGCAGTGATTCAGTGCGGTATCTCCCCAAATGATTTCCCTGAATTTGCGCAACGCTGGCCCGTCATTACGCGGACACGACGATAAACTGCAAATTAGAGTAGCCTGCACTCTGGTTTTTAACTGCTGACAAAGGGGATTTCAGTATGACCGTTCAGATCGGCCCTGGAAACAGCAGCAAACGAGCTAAACCAACACAAAACGAGCACAGCTCAGGGCGCGACACGCAGGCTGGAAAGAGGAAGCTCTGAAAGAGGCCCAGGAATAACGGAGGGAATCAACTCAAACCTGATGAGGGAGCCCAGGGAGTTCTGCTGTGTGCAGTGCTGGGAGGCAGGAACCACAACGCTCCCTCGGACCTCAGCTTCAACGAGCAGTAACGGGCCAGGCTGCCGATACCCCGTCCTCAAGCTCCCGGGCGCGTGACGGGGGCAATGCAGCCCCAGGAACCAGCCCCACGAGAATTAGGCGAATCTTCCTCAAACGGGCCCCRCTCCTCCCGCAGCAGGAACGCGGCCAGGCGTCTCCATGCAGCGAGTCTTCCTGCGTCAGAGACTATGTGACAGGCTGCTCAGCTCACCGGCAAGCGAGACATTAACCTGAGGCCTCCCACCCACGCTTATTATTCTTAAATGCTCTTGCGTGACTTTCGAGGGCCAGGAGAGGTGTTGGAGTCCTTGAAGCCTCCTCAGGTAGCAGATACCGCTGTGTAAAACAGGCCACGGACAACCTGCTGTCCTAACATTTAGCTCAGGGGTCCGGCCCGCTCCTTGGAGCTGCTTGCCAACTGTTCAGGACAAGCCGAGCACACGGGTGCCCTCAGAAACCYGGCAGACCCACAGCGGCCGAGACGCGCACCCGTCCAGACACCCCTCGCGGGACTGTGGGGTCGGATGTCCTCAAGCTGGGCCGCCCTACGGAAGCGCAATGTCCATAACCACTTTACCCACTGAACGAGGAAGGCCAGAGCTCCTGCGCCCCACTGGCCGTTGCCCCACCGAAAGCCCCTTTGCAATGGAAAGGGGGCCCGGTGGAGAGGGACRGTTTGACAGCGTGGGTGCTGTAGCTTGGCTGCTCCCTGTTTASTCAGCTTTCCAGATCGGGACAAGCTTGGAGAGAAACGGAGCGATCCTTGTAGCTGAGCCAACGCTGGCCCTAATTAACAGGGACCCAGGGGTATCGGGTTAAAGGCCGCCTTGTGTACGGAGGGCAGGGTGTCCCAGAGCGCGCCGCGGCTCCCGAAACGCTGCCTCGGCCCGAGGGGGACAAGTCACTGAAACCAGGACAAGTTCTGGCCCCCACCAAAATRATCCACCACTACCAAAAAGGTGAGGCAAGCAGTGTCACAGAACCATAGAGTGCTTCAGGTTGGAAGGGACCTCAGAGGTCATCGAGTCCAACCCCCCTGCTCACGCAGGGTCACCCAGAGCAYGKGGCACAGGGCTGCATCCAAGTGGGTTKTAAAGATCTCCAAAGAAGGAGACTCCACAGCCTCCCTSGGCAGCCTGTCCCAGGGCTCTGGCACCCTCACTGTTAAGAGGGTGTCCTGYGGTCAGGATTTCTCACCTCTTCCGCACATGAGAAGCCATGGAGAGACCAGCCCATCCGCTGGAAAGCCCAGGTGCGACACGCGAAGCATCTGCTTTCCCTCAGCCGACTATGTAACTTTGGGGGAAAGAGATAAATAAACGGGCACCTCCCCAGGGCTTGGATTCCCCTCCACGCTGTGACGGGAGCTCAGCTTGCCAGAGAGCGGGCAGCAGCGGGAGCGGTGCCGAAGCCGGGGCCGGAGYGTGCAGATGGGACCGGTGCCGGGCCGAGCACACACAAGGGAGCTTTCCGTGTCACATCACACCTCTCCTCTTTGCAAGGGGAGAACAAAGCGTTTCTGGAAAGCCCTGAGGTAAAAGAAGCCTAAATTCACCTCGGGAAATACCTTATACATAGGTAGGAGGCAGAAGGACGTGGGGTGGGAGTTCCTGCCTATGTCCATATGCCTGAGGCCGTCTCAGAGCCCTGTAATTCATGGCTGAAAAACAGCAGCAGCAAYGTTGGATTCCTACGCCGTGTCACAAACACATAAAGTGTCCGGTTGTCTGGCCAGCTCCTCGCTCTGACTGGGGCTGTTTGCACGGGATCAAGGGGCCTTGCTGTGGAACGCCACGCGGGGAAGGGTGCGGGGTGCTCTCGGGGTGCTCGAGAGCACAGCCCGACTGCAGCAATCCTGAGAGCTCCGTTGGCGCCGTCCCCATAGGCCTTGGGTGCTGCTCCCACCCTTGGGTGCTGCCCGCCCCCCCGCCGTGGGGCAGGATTCCCAGGGCAGCCTGGGGGGCGCATTCCAAAGTGACGGCAGCTCCGGCTCATGTGTGTGCCCAGCTCCCCCCGCCACGGGAACCATTATTTCGGGGCTGTTTTCAGGGGCTGTCAGCCTGTCCCGGGCCCCCGGGGAGTGGGAAAAGCCAGGGGCCCCTGGGGAGCCCTGTCTCCTTGTGCGTGGGTGCCAGCCCCCCGGCCGTACCCGTGTACGCGGGGGCTGCAGGTGCCAGGAGGGACGGGAAACGGCACCGGCGAGCGGCGTGGGAAGGCAGCGGAGCCAGCGCTAGATCAAAGCCTGAGCTAATGTGTCGTAATGGTGAAATACTCCCAGAGGCGGAAAATTCCATRTCCCAGGTCAGCGTGACACCACCAAAATGGGGAGAAAAAGAGAAAAAAAGAGAAGAGAAAGGTGCTCGGCCTAAGAGGCAGGCGCTGGTGCAGRAGGTGAGGTTCCCAAGCGTGACAGAGATTAAGCTGTTGTCCTCATGGTGCGCTGGGTCTGGAAAGCTCACAGGGCCCCTCGGAACGCCGAGGGGGTAGAGGTGACCTCTCCACCAGCACCCGGAGCCCTCCAAGCACGGGGGGAGACACGGGACATTTGTGATCCGCTCCCAGAGAGACCCCACTCGATGGTTTACGATATCTGTGCTGGGCAGCAAACAGCTAGTTTGATTTACAAGAAATGCTGTTTCACTTGGCTACCACATATCAATGATTCCAAGGACCCGTTTAGTTTTGCAGGACTTGGGGGTCTCATCTCCATCCTCGGTGAACGCCATGGGCCAGCGCAAACCAGTAGTATCCCCTGTTCCGTCCTTTGCCTTTTTTTTTCAGGAATTAATGCAGACCGGTTGGGCAATGTGATAGAAACGTGTCCTTGCTCTAATCAGAAGCGTTCAGTCAAATTTCAGACAGCTTTATCAAAATTACCTCGAGTATTTTTAACTACTGCCACAAYGGCCCCAGGAGGGAAAATTGCACCGCCACCATTCCTGTTTCTGCTCTGCACACCGTGTATTCTGACATTGACAATGCAGATAAAAARGATGTAAACAACACCAAGAGTATTATCACTTTCTTTTTTTCCCCTGCTTTTCTCCGATATTTCATTCTGAAATTAATTTCTCACAAGCAGAACGGAAATTGTGGGTTGGAAAGAGGAGCCAGCGTGCGCGCTGGTCCTGTCCCCACCGCAATGTGCTTGCGGAACAGCCCGTGTGCAGGAGGACGCGGGGAGCAAGGCAGAGCTCAACGGCATGCAGGGAAGAAGAGCGTGACCCAACCAGGGACAAACCCGAGCGGCGCCGCGGGGCATCAGCTGCCGCCTGTATTGGGTGTCCGGCTGCCAGGCTGCTGCCAGGGCCTCAGCTGTGGCACATACATCACGGGCCTGAAAGGCTACCTGTGGGAAAAGCGCTTTTGTGCCCCACGGGGAGCGCTGGGC